CTCGGTCTGCGGCGCCGTCGCCGCCAGTTGCAGCCGCGCAGCTGGCTGCAGAATCGTTGCGTCGACGTGCGCCCCGCCGCCGTGGCTGGGCAGTCTTCCACGACGCCGTCTGCCGCCAGGTCTCTCGCGAGCGACCAGGTGCTCGCTGCCGTGATCCTGCGCGACGCGAAGGTCGCCGAGGAGATCGGGGCCGAGGTCGTCGAGCTCGAGATCGCCGGCCTGCTGGCCCGCCGCGGCGAAGCCCAGCCCGCCGCGGCGGGCGCGGCGGGCGCGGCGGAGGCCCCGGGCCCGGCGGAGGTCGCGGAGCCCGACCGCGACAAGAAGAGGGACCTCACGAAGTGGATGGCCCTCGTTGGCGCCTTCGCCAAGACCCTGGTCAGCAGCCGCAGCGCGGGCGCCGCGGCGCCGAGGTCCGCGTTGGGCGCGCCCGTCGAGAAGTTCCTGGAAATCGTCTCCAATTCCCCCGCAGCTGCGGCGGCTGCTCCGGTCGGGGCTGGAGCCGCCGTCGCCGCCGCGGGCGCGGGGGCCTGAGGCCGAAAGGTCTGCCCTCTCTTTCTGGGGGAAGCCTGCGCGCGCCAGCTGGGTCACAGTTGGTCAATCTTTCAGCGAGTGACCCTCGCGCGCCAGCTGGGCCATAGTTGGCGGAGACGACGTATTTGTCGTCCTCTGGCCCGCTTTTGTCGTCGCGTTGTCCGCGTTTCCGCCCCTCCCCCCTCTTCCTCGTCCTTCGGCGCCCGCGGCGCCTGGCCCATGGCTCGCGCCATTGAACGTGGCTCGCGTTTGCTCTGCTCGGCGCGGGGGCCGCAGGGTGATCCGCAGATGCAGCCGAGGCTTTCGCTTTCCTGCTGTGCTTTTCCTGCCATGCTTGTTTTTCCCCTTCCCGCGTTCTTCCGCGGCGAGTGCGCTGCGTGCCGGGCTCGGCCTCGGACCTCGCGCAATCAACTGAGTCGCGTGTAGGTCAAGAGAGGCGTCGTATTGCTCGCGCACATGAACAGCGAGGTGCCCCAGAGAGGGGCGGGGGGGGGATGAGGGGAAATAGGAGGAGGTGGAGGAGGAGGGGGGGGGGGGCGGAGGGGGCGGAGGAGGAGGGGGATGGGGGGGGGAGAAAGGGGGGGGGAGGCAGGAGGAGGGGGAGGAGGAGGAGGAGGAAAAGTGATAAGACGAATGCATGGCATGACACATACAATGCGACGAATCATCGTAATACGAATGCTGCTATCAACAAAAATGTTACACATACTGCTAATCTTGTAAACAGACTGATAATATTATATATATATATATATAGTAATATCCATACGTATAACAATCCAGAGGTTAGTCGTAACATTCATAACAAGAGTAACATCATGATTCGGAAACAGAAAAGAACAGCATTTGTCGATCAATAATATCATTAGTACTACGAAGAAGCATACTACTGATGACCAGAACAAGACTGATTGTATAAAAAGAATGTGAATAATCAAACTGATCATAGATATATTAAGAATACCAACTCTACGGCTAACAATACTAGTTTCCCTAAGATAGATTTCGAATACTATTACTACTACTGCTACTACTATTACTACTACTACTACTACACATGCTACCAGTAGCGATCACACGCATCAGAAGAATGCGAATACGAATGCGGAACACAGTACTGATACTACAGAGGCTTGATCATAAATACAAGACGACTCAGACTAGTACTACTAGCATAAAAGGAGAGTTGTAATACGAATACGAACGCGTATAAGAAGACGGTTCAGCATACCAGCAATAAGAAGCAAACTACTGTTGAACATGCCATTCGTGTTAGTAATATTAGTTTACGACTTTCACTATAGTAACAGCAACTACTACGACTACTATTACTACTATCGCTACTCCTCCTACGACTACTCCTACTACTACTACTACTACTACTACTACTACTAGTAGTACTGCTACTACGACTACGTATACTAGTGCGATTACCACTACTACTACTACTACTACTACTACTACTACTACTACTACTACTACTACTACTACTACTACTGTTTTACTACTACTACTACTACTACTACTACTACTCCTACTCTTACTCCTACTCCTACTACTACTATTAATACTACTACTACTAGTACTAGTACTAGTACTAGTACTACTAGTATTACAAATACTACTACTACTACTACTACTACTACTACTACTACTACTACTACTGCTACTACTACTACTACTACTACTACTACTACTACTACTACTACGGCTACTACTACTACTACTACTACGACGACGACTATTACTAGTATTACTACTACTACGACTACTACGACTGGTAACGCTGCGACTAATACGAATACTAATCGTACCAACCGCCATATCATTACTAGTCCGCTTATGTTTCAAACCACTTCTTAATATTACCAATACTGCCACTTATAACTATCACAATAATACGATGATAGCACGAGTAGTGGAGGGAGGAGGAGGCAGAGGAGGAAGAGGGGGAGGAGGAACAGGAGGAGGAGAAGGAGGAGGAGGGGGAGGAGGAGGAAGGGGAGATGGAGGGGGATGAGGAGGAGGAGGAGGAGGAGGAGGGAAGAGGAGGAGAGGAGTACGAGGAGGAAGGAGGAGGACGCGGAGGAGGAGGAGGAACAGGAGGATGAGGGGGAGGAGGAGGGGGAGGAGGAGCAGGAGGAGGAGGAGGAGGAGGAGGAGGAAGAGGAGGAGGAGGAGGAGGAAAAGGAGGAAAAGGAGGAAGAGGAGGAGGAAGAGAAGGAGGAGGAGGAGGAGGAGGAGGAGGAGGAAAGCGACAGGACGAACATGAGGATGAGGTTGCCTGCGCTTCGGGCTATCCTGGGGCCTTTTTGAAAACAGTTTGGAAGTCTCTGGACTTTTTTTTGCCAAAAAAGAGGGCATTCATGTCAGTCCCGTCCCCCCCCCTATCTTCGGGGTCCGTCAAATCGCCTCCTGGGGCTTTCTTTGGGCGCTCTTGGGCGCTCTTGGGCCCCTACTGGGGCCCGTCTTGGGGCTCTCTTGGGCCATTTTGGAACCCCTTTGAGGCTTCAGAAGAACATCGGAAGCGAACAGACGAGGATGCCCCAACACAATCATGCCCACTTTGTTTTTGAAGGACCTTGGCCTCTTGGGAGCTTCCTTGGCGGGCTCCGTGGCCAGTTGGAGCCGTCTTTGGGGCGGTCTTGGAACCTCTTGCAGGCATAGTGGGCGCAATCTCGAGTCATCGAGGGCTTCCTTGAGCGGTCTTGGAGTTTATCTTGAGTTTGTTTGACCCCTCTTGGCGCCATTTCGGGCCAAGAAGGGCTTCCCAGCGACCCGCGACCGGGCGCGTCCAGGCCCAGAAGGGGTGGGGGTGGGGGGAGGGGTAAACCCCTCCCCGAAGGGGAAGAAGGGGGCTGAACAGGACGTGCTACCTAAACCACCTCGGCCCAGAGGGCTGGTGGGATTCTCGCTCTCGACGGGATATCGGCGGACGACGTGAAGACCTGAAGGCACGACGACCTGATCTTCATGTCTTCATGTCTACATACCACTGGCCAGGACAGCAAGACTTCAACTGTTCATTTCTTCATGTCGTCAGCCTGGGCAGCATGTCTTCATGTCTTCATGTCTTCAGGTCGTCGGCCAGGGAGCATATCTTCAGTTCGTCACGTTTTCATGTCGTCGGCCAGGGCTGCTCAGACCAGCTGAGCTTCAGATCTTCGATTCTTCAAGTCTTCAAGTCTTCATGTTTTCATGTCTTCAGGTCGGTCTTGGGGAGGGCGTGTCTTCATGTCTTCATGTCGTCGGGCGATCGCGGAACCCGTGGCCAACGCACTGCTTTCTCCTCCTCTTCCTCCTCTTCCTCTTCTTCCTCCTCCTATTCCTCCTCCTATTCCTCCTCCTATTCCTCCTCCCCCTCCTCCGCCTCCTCCTCCCCTCTCCCCCCTGTGGCCGGAGCTTCTCTATTTCTGGCATGGGCCAGGGTTGTAAGCAGCCGATGTGCGTCATAATCCCTCCTCGTTCTCCTCATGCTCCTCTCTCCTCCCGCATCTCCGGGTGATTTCATTTGGGTGGCATGTTAAGTCATAGGGCATACAGAAATCTGCATTTCGTCTTTCCCTCAGTCCCTGGATGCGCGCAAGGGCTCGCCTATGACAGGTTGGCCTAAGTGCTGCTCCAAGTTTTTGGCTCGTTTGCTCCGCCTCTCCCTTCCCCCTTCATCCCTCTCCTCCTTTACCTCCTCCTCCTGCCTCTCCTCTGCACGAGAACTGCATAACTAATAATTGTCACGGGTGGCTCTTGGTGTCATTGTGTTGGTGTCCCATGTGTCTCTCACAGACCAAGGTTCTCTGCGCGAATTTGTCTATCGCAGTCGGCTTGTGTGTCGTTCAGGGTTTGCTTGGCGACTCTCTGATTCGCACTGCGGTCATACATTGTCGACGCGTCGAAGTCTGGTGGTCGCGTTCCCTCCTCCTCCTCCTCCTCCTCCTCCTGCTCCTTCTGCTCCGAACCAAGCTTTCTAGAGCCATCATGGCAGCCTCTTGAGGGCACCTGGGAGTCCTTGCTGGCCTCCAGGGGGGGGGGGGGGGGCGGCGCCCCCCCCCCCCCCCCCCCCACACACACGAGTGGCGACAGTATCCGTATCCATGACCTTGCGGTTCGGACTCCGAGCGGCGCGATCCCCTGGATACGCGATCCCATGGCCTCTGGATGCGTTCCTCACGAGGGCCTCCGCGCAAGGCCGCCCCGAATCCATGGGGTTGCGGCCGAGGAGCACGGGCTGCGGGTCCGCAGATATTCGGCATGCTACCCGCCCGCGATGTGGTGCGCGCTTGTGCACCAGGCACCCCTTTGCGATGAGGGTGTGCTCGGACGCGTCTCGCTCGCCCCTTGGAGGGGCGCGGCCTGTCGGAAGGTGTCTGTCCTCCGCTGGCACCGTGCCTCAGGCATCGGGGGCTCCATCCTCCCCCTCTCTTTTTCCCTCCCGTCCTCCCGAGGCACTTCCCAGCCTGATGGCCCCACAGGGCGGCATACGGATTGTCTTTCGGGGTGGAACCTAAGATGTTGTCTTCGGCGGAAGAGTTCTTCCGGGGCTGGAACGTGTTCACCCTCCTGGCCGTGCTTTCGCACCTGGCGAAGGTCTGTTTGACGATGACGGTTCTCAAGTATCTCGACTCTACATGGAAGAGTATGGGGGACTTCGGTGGAGCGCTCGTCCTGCACTGCCTGCATGTGGCGCTGCCGATGTTCTCCAAGGTGTTCGACGCGGAGAGCTTCTTGTCCATGTGGGTGGTCACGGTGTCCATGGCGGCATACGTGCTCTTGAAGGACGACCACATGCGCATCATGGCCCCGCGCTGAGCAGACGCAGGTATGCCGACGGGGCCTCGATCAGGCCGCTGGCCTGGCCGATCCCACCCTCCGACCCCACCCACTCCAGCTACCCCTTCCGTCCTTTCCTTTCCTTTAACGCGCCGCTACTCGCGCGCGGGGAATCTGGGGGGAAGGAGAAACGGTATGAGGAGGAGGAGGGGGAGGAGGAGGAGGAGGAGGATGCGGAGGAGGAGGAGGAGAACGAGGAGGAGGAGGAGGAGGAGGAGGAGCAGGAGGAGGAGGAGTTGAGGAGGACCAGTATAAAACCAAGAGTCATCAATGATGTTAGGATAAACCCTTCCTGCACGCTCCCTCTTCATAGGCCCCTGAAGCGGTTCATTTCCATTGAGGGCATTGCCTCGTTGGAAGACAACCGCTTGAAGACTCCGAAGCATGCCAAAACATTGTTCTCGGGATTTCAGCGCCACGGATCAATCTGACTGCTGCAACTTGACGATCTGGACTCGTGCCAGAACGCAACTCTTGGGACTTCAACACCGCGATTCAACATAACTGTTGCACCCGCATAATCCAGAATCCTTCCGACATGCTGGAATCCTCGAAACTCTTGTAAACTTTACAACGACTGTGCGCGGCGCTATGGCGATAACCACATTGTGAAAACGAGCCGCCCTCAATCCGTGAAACTAAAACGAGTGTACGCGGCGCTGAGGCGATAGCCACACTTCGAAAACGACATGCCCTCCATCTGTGAATCTCTTGTTCATTTTTAATGCGAATGTGCGCGGCGCTAAAGCGAGAGCCACGTTGAAAACGACCCGGCTTCGATCCGTGAGACTCCTGCACATGTTTAAAACGAATGTGCGCGGCGCTACGGCGAGAGCCACATTTTGAAAACCACCCGCCCTCAATGCGTTAAACCCTTGCAGATTTGAAAGACGAATGCGCGCGGCGCTACGGCGAGAGCCACATGTTGAAAACGATCCGCCCTCAATCCGTGAAGCTCTTGCAAATGTTTACAACTAGTGTGCGCGGCGCTAAGGCGAGACCCACATGTTGACCCCCTTTAATCCGTGAAACTCTTGCAGATGTTCACAACGATTGTGCGCGGCGTTTAGGCGAGAGCTACATTTTGAAAACCACCTGCCCCCCATCTGTGGAAATGTTGTCAGTTTTGTGGCTCCAGAGACATAAGTGGTGAGGAGGTCTCAGGCGAAACGCCCGGCCCGCCCCTAAAAACTGGCCTCGGGGTGCGGCAGGGAGATTACGTGTAAGGAAGGGGAATGGAGGATGAGGAGGAGGAGGAGGAGGACGAGGACGAGGACGAGGACCAGTGTACTCCCAGTGCTTGTCAACGATGTTGGAATAAACCCTTCCTTCAAGCTCCCTCTTCATAGGCCCCACGCAAGGGTTCATCACCACTGAGGAAATTGCTCCGTTGGGATACAACCGCTTGATTATTTGGAAACGTGCAAAAACACCTGAATCGCCCCAGAACGCAATTCCTGGGTCTCCAACGCCGCGAGTCAACGTAGTTGTTGCGCACTGACCTGAACCGTTCCAACACGCAATTTCTGGTACGTTGACAGTGGAGATGTGTGACACTCTCACACATGTCCAAGACGAGTTTGCGCGGGGCCACAGCGAGAGCCACATTTTGAAAAGGAGCCGCCCTCAATCAGCGAAATTCTATCAAAGTTTGAAGACCGAAGTACGCGGCGCTACGGCGAGATCCACAGTTTGAAAATCCACCGTCCTCAATCTGCGAAGCTCTCACAGCCTTCAAAGACGAATGCGCGCGGCGCTAAGGCGAGAGCCACAGTTTGAAAGCCGCCCGCCCTCAATCTGTGAAGCTCCTGCAAGAATAAGACGGGTTTCCGCGGAGCTAGGGCGAGAGCTACATTTTGAAGATCGCCCGCCCTCAATCCGCTAAACTCTTGCAGATTTTCAAGACGATTGTGCGCGGCGTCAAGGCGAGAGCCACATTTTGAAAACCGCCCGCCCTCAAGCCGTGACGCTTTGCCGCTTTCGAAGTTCCAGGATCATGAATGGCAAGGAAGTCTCATGCGAAACGCCCGACCCGCCCATCGATTGGCTTCGGGATGTAACAGGGAATAATCATTTAGATATATATATGGACAAAGAATAGAAGAGCATGCGCAAACATGAGAAACGAAAGAACTAGACAACACAACATAAGCTAACAGAGATGAGTCATGACAGAACAAACAAACAGGAGACTACCTAAACAACAACACAACAAGACATTTTAATAACACAACGGCAGAGGAGGAGCACAGAGAGCAACCAAAGGAAGAGGACTATGAAGTGGAGGAGGAGGGGAAGAGAACGAGAAGGGAGCGGGGAGGAGACGAGGAGAGAACCAGCACGAGGACGACAACGAGGAGGAGGAGAGGAAGGAGGAGGAAGAGGACGATGATGATGTTCATGATGCTGATGATGATGATGCTGATGATGAGGAGGGGGAGGAGGAGGCGGAGGCGGAGGAGAAGGAGGAGGAGGAGGAGGAGGAGGAGGAGGAGGAGGAGGAGGAGGAGGAGGAGGAGGGGGGAGCTATCGAGTCAGGACGCTGGAACAGGCCGATCGGTCGAGAGGTGTGGATCACAGGCGGTCATCGAGCCAGCATCGGTAGGGCGGGAATAACGCAGGGGGAAGTTCGCAAAGGGAGAGTGCGGGGTGTGTCGTGTTTGGAGCAGGGGGGCGGGCGTCGTCGTCCACCTTCACCCCCACACCCTTTCGCCACTGCCCGAAACACTTTACAAATCCACATACCAATTGGGCTCCCCTCCCCCTCCCCCTCCCCCTCCTTTCCTCCCTCACCCCCCCCACCTTCCCCCTCCCCCTCCCACTTGGGCTCCCCCTTGGGCTTCATAGCTGTGGTCTCCGGATCGCAAACAGAGCTCGATGAAACACAAGTCAAGAGCACGCGCAACAGAAAGCGCAGCAACAAGTGAAATAAACATGTGGGTCCACATTTCTTCTGAAAGCACAACGGAGTCTGCGCCGACAACAAGTGCAACAAGAAGAGCCCCCCAAGACGCACAACTGGGAACAGCTTTTCGTTGCGCGCTTTGTTTACGTGTGTTCGTGTTCTTGTTTCGTCTTGTGTTTGTAGATTCTGCTTCAGGGGGTCCCAGTCGTGCTTCTCCTCCGTGCGCCCCTGCTCGCGCGCGGGGGGTGAGCAGGAGGTGAATGGGGTAGGAGGGAAGGAGGTGGAGAACGTGAAGAAGGAGGAGTAGGTGAAGGTTTTTAGGAGGAGGAGGACGAGGAGGAGGACGAGGAGGAGGACGAGGAGGAACCGAGGAGGGACCGAGGAGGGCCCGGGGAGGAGACGAGGAGGTGACGAGGAGGAGGACGAGGAGGGGTCGAGGACGAGGACGGGGACGAAGACGGCGGCGGCGGCGGCGACGACGGCGACGACCAGTACCTCATCCGAGGCCCTGCACGAGTCGATCGAGAGGCTCCGCGGCACCGGCGGCACGTGCAGCCCCCGGAGCGGCTCCGACCTCGGCCTCTCTCGCCAGGCCTGGCACGGGGCTGCCCAAACCTCCGTGGGCCGCGGCGTGCCTCTCTCGGGGGGCGGCCCAGAGGGGTAGGGGCCTGGAGATTCGGGGCCGGCCAAGATCCTCCTCCTCCTCCTCCTTCTCCTCCTCCTCCTCCTCCTCCTCTTCTCCTCCTCCTCCTCCACCCTACCTCCTCCTCCTCCTCCACCCTACCTCCTCTTTCTCCTCCTCCTCCTCCTCCTCCTCCTCCTCCTCCTCCTCCTCGGGGTGCGTGGATAGAATGGCCTGGGCCATACTATTCTTCGGATCTCAAGACCCCGCTTCTCGTCTCAAGGCGTTCCCTGGGACCCCCCCCCGGGGCCGCGCACGTGCCTCGGGCCATGAGCTGGTGGCAAATCCCCCCCTCCCGGACGCCCCCCCCTCTAGGACGCACCCGAGAGGGGTAGGGGTGTGTGGATGTCATTCAGGAGGGGAAAAAACACACAGACACAACCAATCGGCGATTCCAAGAAAATATGGGAAAATATGGGAAGTGGGGGGGAAGACAAAAACCTAGAAAATATGAGAAAATATGGGGGGTATTTTTATTTGTGTGTATTTATTTGTGTGTCCCAGTTCCCCTTCAGTCATGGCCGCGGCCATGACACGATCAGGAACTCTGGTCCAGCTTGTCGCGCAGCTGGTTCTGGCCCGCCTCGCCTCGGCGCGGCCCGCGGTCCACCTCCCAGTCCCCAGGCGTCCACGCTCCGAGCTCTCTCGAGCCTCCGCCCCGCGGGGCAGAGCGACACATCATCCGCTCGCAGGGCATGGCATCATCCGTCGCCGGGGCTGCCGCGGCGACGCGCTAAGCGAAGTTCCCGGCCACAGGGCTGTGCGTGCGGATACCATGGCCTGGGCCCTGTCATCTCTCCAGATTTCACTGCCGCTCTCTTTTTCCCAACCATCCTGTGGTGTTGGGTCCTCGTTTTGAAGAGACGGTGCCCCGCGTTCCCGCCTCCTTCCTCCTCTCCCCCCTCCTCCCTCCTCCCGTCATCATCATCATCATCATCATCATCATCATCATCATCATCATCATCATCATCATCATCATCATCATCATCATCATCATCATCATCATCATCATCATCATCATCATCATCAGCATGCGTCCCCTGCACCCATTTCGGCACACCCCTCACACGTTTCGTGGCCCCAGAGGGAGCTCCACCGAAGGCCCCAGTGGCTGCGCTCGCATACGGTTCCACCCCCCTTTTCGGCACACCCCTCACACGTTTCGTGGCCCCACAGGGAGCTCCACCGAACGCCCCAGTGGCTGCGCTCGCATGCGGTTCCACCCCACATTTCGGCACACCCCTCACACGTTTCGTGGCTCCATAGGGAGCTCCACCGAACGCCACAGTGGCTGCGCTCGCATGCGGTTCCACCCCCCATTCTCGCACACCCCTCACTCGCTTCGTGGCCCCATAGGGAGCTCCACAGAACGTCCCAGTGGCTGCGCTCGCATACGGTTCCCCCCCCCCTCATTTCGGCACCCCCCCTCACACGTTTCGTGGCCCCATAGAGAGCTCCACCGAACGCCCCACGTCTGGCGCCTCGCATGCGGTTTCCACCCCCCTTTTTTCGGCACCCCTCACAACGTTTCGTGGACCCACAGGAGCTCCACCGAAGGCCCCATGCTTGCCGTCGCATGCCGGTCCATCACCCCACATTTCGGCACATCAGAAGACCCACCCCTCACACGTTCCGTGGCTCCCTTAGGAGCTCCACCGAACGCCCCAGTGGCTAGCGCTCGCATCGTTCCACACCCCTTTCGGCACACAAATCACAACAACAAAACACATAATTAAACCAACCCCTCACACGTTTCGTGCCCCACAGGAGCTCCACCGACCCCCAGTGGCTGACCGCTCATGCGGTCCCCCCCCATTTCGCACACCCCTCACTCGTTTCGTGGCCCCATAGGGAGCTCCACCGAAGGCCCCAGTGGCTGCGCCCGCATGCGGTTCCACCCCCCATTCTGGCACACCCCATCACACGTTTCGTGGCCCCATAGGGAGCTCCACCGAAGGCCCCAGTGGCTGCGCCCGCATGCGGTTCCCCCCCCCCTTCTGGCACACCCCTCACACGTTTCGTGGCCCCATAGGGAGCTCCACCGAAGGCCCCAGTGGCTGCGCCCGCATGCGGTTCCACCCTCATTCTGGCACACCCCTCACACGCTTCGTGGCCCCATAGGGAGCTCCACCGAAGGCCCCAGTGGCTGCGCCCGCATGCGGTTCCACCCTCATTCTGCATCACAGGACCGCGACCCTCACACGTTTCGTGGCTCCATAGGGACCCCCACCGAACGCCCCAGTGGCTGCCTCGCAAGGCGTTCACCCCCCATTC